AAAATTTTTTTTAAATATCTTTGGCAAGATACAACATTATTGGGTTTCTTAGTTTGTTCTATGTTGCTATAACAGAATACCCAAAACCATGTAATTTATGAAGAACAAAGGAACAAGATTTGTTATTCACAGTTACGGAGGAGGCTTGGGACTTCTGGGATGTTCCAGGTCAAGGGAACTATGTCTGGCAATGACCTTTTGCTGCATCTTCTCATGACAGAAGGTGAAAAGGCATGTATCAGAGATAAGAGAGGCCGACTGAGCTTATTCTTTCATTGGAAACCCACTCCTGTGCTAAGTAATCCACTCCTGCTAATGAAATTTAATCCATTCACAGCCCCTCACTTTAATCATTTCTTAATTGTCTCACCCCTCAACACTATTGTATTAGGAATTGAGTTTCCAATGCATGAACTATGGGGGAATACATTCAGACCATTAGGCCTCTCTGGTGTCACTTGCAGATTTATATGGAGGATGGATAAATCCGTTGCTTTATCTACTGCTTGAAATTGTTGCAAGAATGAACATAACAGGTGAACATGCACTGTGTGTATGGATTCTGTAGTTATGACATTGCTTTCCATTAAAACTTTTGCTATTTGTTATTTCTGTGCTGTAAATCATCTATGAACCCCAACAGCTTAGACCATGTTCAGAAACTCAGAGAGTTAAGGGAATAAGACAATGTATTCTAGTAATAGTAAACTTACCTGAATGTCTTGCAAGAATGAACGTAACAGGTGAACATGCACTGTGTGTATGGATTCTGTAGTTATGACATTGCTTTCCATTAAAACTTTTGCTATTTGTTATTTCTGTGCTGTAAATCATCTTTGAACCCCAACAGCTTAGACCATGTTCAGAAACTCAGAGAGTTAAGGGAATAAGACAATGTATTCTAGTAATAGTAAACTTACCTGAATGTCTGATAAAATGGAACTGTCTAAAGACAGAAGTACCAGTTTACACCGTGTCCTCCCAGAAGAGACTGTACTATATTTCTCATGCATTCCACAGGGCTTCTCCTTAACCAAATGGTGTTCCATCTGAGAGCAGATACCACCTGTCACCAGCATCTGCAGTAATTCCAGGACGTGATAGTTGTAGAAGGCCTGGAAAGCAAGGGCAAGCTCCATGTGAGATCAGAAGGGCCACCACGAGCATGGTGCAGGTGCTAGGCATGGAGACTTAGTGGCATCAACATCTGAGGGTGCAGAGCACTGCTTCTTGTTGCCATGATCAAAATCAAGGGTGGGCTGGCAATTTGCATAGGGTGCTAGGAGTCAAAGAAAAGAGAAACTTATAGTGAAGCAGGTCTTGTTTCTATGGAGCTGACACCCAGGACCCCTCTCCTCCACATGTGACCAGAGTGTGAAAAGCCACAGTACCCTAAGGGTCATCAATATATGTATATATGTTTATATATATATATGTAGTTAATGAGACCTACCATTACATACATGATAGAATATTTTTCAGCCATAAAAAGGAATGTGGTACTGATAAAAACTGTAATGTGGAGCCAGGTGTGGTGGCACATGCCTTTAATCCCAGCACTCAGAAGGCAGAGGCAGAGGCAGGTAGATCTCTGTGAGATAGTGAGTTCCAGAACAGCAGGGGCTACAGGAAGATCTTGCCTAGAAAAACAAAAACAAAAACAGGAGACTGGAAAGATAGCTCAGCAGTTAAGAGCTATCTTTAGCTCTTGGCTGCCCTTTCAGAGGACCCAAGTTCAGTAATATCTTTGGCAAGATACAACATTATTGGGTTTCTTAGTTTGTTCTATGTTGCTATAACAGAATACCCAAAACCATGTAATTTATGAAGAACAAAGGAACAAGATTTGTTATTCACAGTTACGGAGGAGGCTTGGGACTTCTGGGATGTTCCAGGTCAAGGGAACTATGTCTGGCAATGACCTTTTGCTGCATCTTCTCATGACAGAAGGTGAAAAGGCATGTATCAGAGATAAGAGAGGCCGACTGAGCTTATTCTTTCATTGGAAACCCACTCCTGTGCTAAGTAATCCACTCCTGCTAATGAAATTTAATCCATTCACAGCCCCTCACTTTAATCATTTCTTAATTGTCTCACCCCTCAACACTATTGTATTAGGAATTGAGTTTCCAATGCATGAACTATGGGGGAATACATTCAGACCATTAGGCCTCTCTGGTGTCACTTGCAGATTTATATGGAGGATGGATAAATCCGTTGCTTTATCTACTGCTTGAAATTGTTGCAAGAATGAACGTAACAGGTGAACATGCACTGTGTGTATGGATTCTGTAGTTATGACATTGCTTTCTATTAAAACTTTTGCTATTTGTTATTTCTGTGCTGTAAATCATCTTTGAACCCCAACAGCTTAGACCATGTTCAGAAACTCAGAGAGTTAAGGGAATAAGACAGTGTATTCTAGTAATAGTAAACTTACCTGAATGTCTGATAAAATGGAACTGTCTAAAGACAGAAGTCCCAGTTTACACTGTGTCCTCCCAGAAGAGACTGTACTATAGTTCTCGTGCATTCCACAGGGATTCTGCTCTACCAAATGGTGTTCCATCTGAGAGCTGATACCGCCTGTCACCAGCACCTGCAGTAATTCCAGGATGTGATAGTTGTAGAAGGCCTGGAAAGCAAGGGCAAGCTCCATGTGAGATCAGAAGGGCCACCACGGGCATGGTGCAGGTGCTAGGCATGGAGACTTAGTGGCATCACCATCTCAGGGTGCAGAGCACTGCTTCTTGTTGCCATCATCAAAATCAAGTGTGAGCTGGCAATTTGCATAGGGTGCCGGGAGTCAAAGAAAAGAGAAACTTATAGTGAAGCAGGTCTTGTTTCTATGGAGCTGACACCCAGGACCCCTCTCCTCCACATGTGACCAGAGTGTGTGAAAAGCCACAGTACCCTAAGGGTCATCAATATATG